GTAGTCCACACCCACAAACGCAGGGCATGCTTACCGGTCCCTGCTTCAAGATATTCAGGAATCGTCAGCTGTGCTTCTTGAGCTAAAAAGCGAGGAACTCTAAAGCCTTGCGCACTGATTTGTCTGACCTGTACGCAATATCTTACTTGGTACTTTGCTTAATACAATCCTCCTAACTATCGACGTTTCTCATAAACTCTTCTAAACTCTGATTTAGAAACCCGTGCGCGGTCTCAGGGGTAGCATCAAGGGAGGCATTCACAGCTCTCAAAAAGTAATCACCGGCCAAATACGCCTTCGTCGCGTTAATGGAGCCTGTCCAACTGCGCGAGCCATCTTTAGCCGTCGCATTGAAGTACATGTATGTGTCTTGCGGTAGGTACGAGATCCAAGGGCAGACGTCGTAATCGTACAAGATGGTGATTTTTCCGCACCATGTTTGTTTAGTCTCGATACTCGCCGTGATGAACAATGCGAGCATGAGAAGGAAAAGGATAGCGGAGTATAAGCGGTACCACAACGTCGACACTCCAGGAACGACGGTAGTTCTGTCCTGTGCTCTTGCGATGTTGAGGATGAAGACGACGGCACTTCCGAAGCTGAAGGTGCACCAGAGCATGAGTGAAAAGAGTCCCGTGCCGGTAATGTAAGTGGAATAGTAAATAGTATTTTTCAAAAGCCGATAGGTCCACAAGCCGCTTAGGCTCGCCATGCCTAGTAGTGGAGTTAAGAAGATGATTCTCGCGATGTAGCCATGAATGCTTGTCCGAGGGCGGAATTCTTCGTAGCTGGTATCGTCCCCTGTCTGAGGTGGCCACTGAGGCGTGTCGTCGTCTGACAATGGTACGGTGCTCAACTCGTGGTATCCTGCTTTTGTCGTTGTGGTGACTTGAATGGCCCTCTTGTTGCTTAGATTTATGTCGTAGTGATTGTACGCGAAACCATCCGTGATCCAGAGAGCTGAGGGAAGCCGTATGAGACCCAGCAGCGCAAGTGGCAGGAACACGGTAGCCAAATTCATGTCGTTGTTGAATTCCTCCATTAAGAGCAACTCGTACAAAGCCTGCACGCCCTGCAATGTCACGATTACAGTATTCATGAACGACTTCGACAACAGCTCTGCGTGACTTTTAGGCGGTAACCTTATACAATACTTCCCCCCCTCTCTTATCATATCTTCACTTCCATTCCAGCCATTCGTCGTCCAAAAAAGCGCATTGGACGAGGCCAGAATTTCGCGATCCCAGTTTCTGGCACGAATCCTGCGATCGAATATGATGAAGTAACGCCAGATGATTGATGTAGGGTTCCAGAATACAGCATAGTCGATCCATCTTGGTGGCTTGGCGCAGAGGTATATTGGCTCCGGGGCGCCTGCTATTACGTGGGCAATGAGAGGAGCAAGGGCGAGTGTCCAGAGACTTAGAAGCTTGCCTAAGTCGAGCCCTGGGTGGTCGGAAGTAAAATGCACGAAGGTCATTTTATACGAGCAGAGATGTTACTGCCGAATGTGGATCAATTATAAGCATGCAGTCGGAGATCACCCTGCTCTTATACAGTTTCTTCTCATTTATTTTTCAGATTTCGCTTCGCCATGGCACACATGTTGCTGGTCCCGTTGTCAGCCACATATATCATAGCTGAGACAGAAGACAGATGATTGGCTCCTTGGCATGCACTGCGACATCTCCACCGCGACTACAGCCTACAGCCTAACATAAACATGCACTCATCCCACGCTTCTAGACCGGTCTTTGGAGCGCCCCGAAGTGACACCCAACAGCATAGCTAAGGCGGCTAACAAGATTTGCCCCCTAAAAGATCGCAACCCCACGCTTTACAGTAGGATTCCACCACAACATCGAATGTATTCGTCACTTTTACAGTTAGATGTATATTACTTGAACTCTAAAATACTTCCTGTATTATATAAATAGTAAAGGTAACAAGAAATTTAGAGCTAAAGTTCACAACTACTCTCAAAGCTAGTCTAGACTTCGGTATTAGAGGAACTACCTCTAAGGAAGTGATTTCCTTACTAATGCTTGTATGTATGAACAACCAGTACAATTGAAGATGGGAAGGTATCTTTGAATTACACTAATGTGATAACTTCTTTATGAAGGCCGTGAAAGAGGTATTCTTCGTCTCGACGAACGGGCTCAAGAGTAGCCAAGCCTACTCTTCGAAAATGTTTGTCTGCTCCTGTTCCACGTAGCAAGAGACAAATCGCAATGTCATGTCTCTTACCGTTGCCGCTTGTGACCTCCAAGTAGACGACTTCGACAGGCAGGTCTTTGTTGTCTCTGTCCATGAATATTCTGCTTTCCAAGAGTTTGTGTCCAGTTTTCAGACACACTGCTGGTCCATATCTCTCTCCCTCGACCATTCTGCCCCTGCGCAATCTACCTCGAACGCACATGCAACTACCGGGGCAAACTCTGCCATATGGATCCTGACCGGCGAGTTTTATGTTGATGCTTATGATCTCCAGTTCGCTGTTCCCACCAAGTCCATGGAAAACAACCTGATTCATTGTCGATGCCCAAGACCACGATGGGGCACAGTATTCCCCTTTGCAGGTCGCTCTCGATCGTCCTGAAGATACATACCACAAAAGGCTGTTGGGCATGTGTTCTTTCCACAGTCCTGCGGCATAAGTGCCACCGAATCGTTGTGCGAATGTTCGCGCAAGTCCGCTCAGAGCAGGAAGTCTGTCTGCTTCGTAGGTCAGGGCGCATGGAGAATATTGCAACACTACAGTTTCCCACAAGGATTCCGGTGATCCGTCATGGTCTACGCCGACAGCTTTGCATATTGGGTCAGAGAAGGCTCGAAACGTCCCGGTGATTCTCGTCTTCCAAGCTTCATGCCGGGGTTGATTTGGTTTCTTCGACTCAGACTGGACAACGTCGCTACACTCCCAGTATGTTTGGTCTTTGCCAAAGATCAACTTCCTTCTCGACATTAATCGCTCCTGGAAAACCCAGCCGCGCCGGAACAGCTGGGTGGCGGATATAAAGCTCTGATAGTATGGGAGTGCTTTACGAACGAGAACACTAAACTGTGTTGCTCCACTGGCATCCGTGTATGGTAAAACTGCCAATTCCTTGGTCGTATGACGATATCGGAAGAGGCCTCCTTGACTGTCTGATGCGGAGGCAGCCATGATAGTCAAAAGAGCGCTCTTGTAGATGTCTGCCATCTTAGCTGACTCGATTTCCCAATCGTCCAACTTGTCTTGGATAATACACAGAGAGTCTATCCACACATGGCCTATACCGAGCTGGCGTGCGATAAAGATAGCGTCTTTGAATGTTTGAGGGAGTTGCACCCAAGGTATTGAGGTGTGAAATAGTTCGAGGGTTTCGGTTGTAGTAAGCAACGTCTCGTTCCCCCAGCGATAGCTGACTGCTAAGTATTCTGTGTCTGCATCTGAGCCATTTACAATCCTGATGAACTCAGACCCGTCAGCAGCACCTACTGCCACCAATCTAGCCGGACGGGTGGTAGCTGCATTCGAGCCGTGGTTATGGTTGAGAAGGCAGTTATCTAACCAATTTCTCGCTTGGTCAAGATTCGAAGCGGCCCTGATACATCTACCTGTAATATGCTTGGTGGTGGCGGGAATGCTACCTGAGTCCATAATCAGCCTTAGGATTATCTTTCTATCATCGGAAAGAAGGAACGGCTTCAAACCTTCCATGGTGAAAACATCCAGCTCGAGATGTTGAAACCCGGGACGCTCTCCATCCCAAATATTCAATCCGTGTAATGATCCGTAGATATCTGCATTGTGGATTTTGAAATCTCCTTCGTCCTCTCCAGATTCGAGCCGAAAATGAGATGCGATCACCTCACAGAATGCACAAATCGATCTATTTCGCTGCACTGATACTCGGGACTTGCGAATCTCGAGGTTATTGCCTTCACAAAGCTGCTTAATCTCGTGACCCATATTGCTGCACTCATCACAGACGTGGTTCACACCAGACAAAGAAGAATCGTATGCGCTGGGCAGCGTGGTAGATGACATTCCCGCTGCTATCTAGAATGTGATAGCTAAATGTGTCGTCTGAATGGTAAATATGGTTTGATTGCACTCTATATCAGAGTATGTAAGTAGCACTGGCAGCCTGCTATGCGGGGTAAGCAGGCCAGACTGATGAAACCACAGCAGCACGTATCTGGCTTCGGAGGACGTAAGAGGCTGAGCGTATACTGCATCCAGGCAATCATCTTGTCGACAGCATACAAAGCTGAGTGTTCATTGGGTGAGATATGTTGCATGAGGCGCAGGCTAATCATCGTTTTCAACGACTCACTACCAGTAGCCTGGGGGCTTGCGCCCGCCTCCACGTCTTGACCCCGCAATCAGCATTCACCCCATCGTGCAGCGCCAAGTCCTCATACCCCCCAGCCATCAACCACACAACCAATCCATCTCACACCTTCGTCCAACATGATAACAGGCATTCACCACATCAACCTCGTGGTCCCCGCATCAACCCTCCACCTCGCCCACGAATTCTACTCCCAAACCCTCGGCCTCACACCACGCCCCGTACCCCATCTCCAGCGCGAAACACTCGCCTGGTTCGACATCGGCACATCAGGCCAGCAAGTCCACGTCGCAATCGGCAAGCCCGAGGACTTTGCTCATCCTTCCTCACGCCACCCTTGTTTCCGGGTTGGGAGCGTAGAAGCGCTGAACGAGCTGCAAATCAGGGTATGGGAGCACTTTGAGAGAAAAGGGGAGAGCGAGAGCGCGCCATTGATGGCTGATAAGCCTGGTGCGAAGAATAGTGGGGCGGAGGGCGTCGAGTATCCAACGAGGTTCTTTGCACGAGACTTTGCGGGAAACAGGTTGGAGTTTAGTGTGTGAGATACCTTGGTGAAGCAAAGGTCATATATGATATTCGTTGCAACGCCAGGACAATGCTAGCCCCCATGCGCTTCTCTACCTGAATGCCAGGGGAGCACAACGTCTTCTTTCCATCTCAAACCAACAACATAGCAGCGACTATACCAACAACAGCCATCACACCCTGCATCTGCACCCCCAACGCCTCGCCACTACTATTCGCATTCAACTTGACGACCGCTCCCGGAAAATTACACGTCAACCGATCATTATCCGGATCCCTCCGGCCATACATGCTCTCCCTCTGCGCCCCATTCGGACAACTAAACCCCATCTGCGCAGGACAACTCCTCACAATATCAAAGCACATGTCCTCACAGGGCTTCATCTCCTTGTACGGACCCGGTTGGATGACCTCGTCGATGAGCGGATTCCTACTGCGAGCAAACGCCGCGCTGTCGTTGAAGCCAGGAATCATGTCGGGCAAGGAGCCATTGGCAAAAGGTGTCTTGACATTACGCGGGACGAGCGACGAGTCGTTTGCGGTCCAGTCCTCGCAGCGCGGCATGAGAACCATGCAGAGCCAGGATTTGTAGTCTTTTGCACAGTCGTCGCAGGTGCGGGCGAGCGAGTATTGCGATTCAGAGACGGTGTCGCAAGCAACCTGTGCCAGCGACTTTGTGAAGTTGTCGTAGTACTCACGGGCTTGATCGTCGTAGATTGTTGCAAGGGCCGTGTCGTTGTATTTGAAGCGGGTGTTGGATGGTACGGCGTAGGCGACCGTGTCACAAAAGTCGAGGTCGAAGAGGACTTGGCAGGAGTCGTCTGGGTATGGTCGTTAGTAGAGCGATTGAGTGGGGGAGAGTGTGTTACGAACCGGCTTTTGTGGTCCAGTTGAAGGCCTGGAAGACCCGGCCTCCGCCTCGCGTTGTGCCTACGCGGTCAATGTATAGTGGCTCTTGGCTCCCCTCAACTACTACGAAACCATTGTATGTCTTCGCGGCTTGCAAGTTCCTGACATGGAACTGGCTCTTGGGCATGAAGCTGTCGCCGCTAAACTTCGTCGTGATACTCGTGTCAATGGTGAAGTTCCTCGTGGTGTTCACATTGAACTGTTCCTTGAGCGCGCAATATGACCGTTCCAGCCCCGTAACTGGAGTCCACTCGTCATCTGGAAAAGCGTACATGTGGAAAGGGTTCTGCGCCTTCCATTTATCGACATCCTCCGTCTTGTTCGAATCGCCCAGGTCGTACGTGATGAATAACGCAGACTCGCTGTCAGTATCCACCATGTACAGGAACGGTTCAGTGGCGTTGTAGCTGTGGTAGGGTCCGTCGGTGCTGGCAGCCAGTTCAAAATGCCAGCTGCCGAACCAGTCTTCTTCTAGCTTGGGCGCTCCAATGCCAATGTACACATCTGACGTAGCATTGAGCTCAAAACTGGCGTAGCCACCATCGAACAGCACGCCCGTTATGTTGGTTAGAGTGTCTTGCGTTGCATCTGGGCCTGGCCGCTGATTCTGCGCTGATGTGGAGACGTACATGACGAGCTGAGGATGGTTCTTCATGGCGTCCGTCGTATTTCCGTTCGGCATAGGCTGACGACAAGTGTTGGCAGTTAGCCAGACGCGACTGCCACCAGACTGGCGCTTGTCCAGTCCAGCCTCATCCTCGTCACTCGCATTGCCTGTGCCAGGCGCAACATCATCCGCCGATCCAACTCCGTCCGAAACATTCTCCGTTCCCCGTGCTTCCAGAGCTTCCGTGGGAACGTCAAGAGCACTTCTCACGCGCAATTCGCCCTTCTTGAACACAAAGTGCATCGTCTCCTCCGGGTTGATGTCCTTTGGCATCCCCTCGTTGTTGACCAACGTGTCAAGCACGTCGGCCTGCCGCCCAATCAGACTGCGATCGAGGTAGGCAAAGTCCGGCTCATAGCCGTCACTCTCTATGCGATTGTGTCCTCCATGCCCAATCTGCGACATTTCGCCGTTGGGAAGGGCGTAAAGTACGGGGCTGTCAAGGACGTCGTGGTCGGGGGCCGCAGGGACTTCGGCAGCGTGGGCGCCAGGTATCGGGGAGCTCCATAGCGCGATACAGGCGCCTGTAGCGGCGAGGTATGGAAGCAGTCTCGACCGCAGAGGTGAAAGCTGGGGGCGTTGCATTGCCCTCTCCGCTGCCTTATCGATAGAACTGGAGCCGCATGAGTGTCTGGTGGGCGCAATGGGTGCGCTGCGAGGTGAACGAGCGTGGAGCAATCGCACGTGTAGGGGGAAGCGATGCGCGCAAATGATGATTCGGTTTAGTACGTCAAAGGGTAGTGGTGAAGGAGTAGTGGGGGGCGGCCTGTCAGGTCAAGTGTGGCGTAGAGTCGCGCGAAAGTGAAGATCGGCCGTTGTTAGCTCCGCCAAGACATGTGGCTTCCCGCTGCCAGACCCCCACGTGGGTACACACCAGGGCTGAACATGAACAGCTGCATACACTGAAGTCGACACAGAGGAGAGCTTGACAAACGCGAAGAGACCAATCATACCAATTCCTCATTCACAAGTTCGTTCAATCTTGGCTTTGAAGAGTAAGATGCTATCGTGGCTATGTACAGTGCATCCTCTGACTCTCCCTTCTATGCTTACACAGGTCTAGTCCCAATCTTCTATTCAACCCCAGTGTTTCCACTCTATGCGAGAGCAGGGTTGGCGTTCTTCAATAACATCTCAAAGTAAGCCTGGAACCAAGTACCCGCCTCAGGCGCAGGCTTGAAAGCAGAAGCCTTGCCGCAGAAGCCATCGTATCTCGCAGCAGACTGGTCAGAAGTACCATCAGACTACACTACCGTTAGCATGCATTTCATCAGACAACCTTTCAAAAGACCATTACATACCTCGCCACCGGGCTTGACCCAAACGAAAGCATCGACAAGCGCATTGTCAGTGTTAGTAGTAGGGCGGATGCCAAAGCCAGCGCCCGAAACATTGCACCAGTCACCCCAAGCCTGCTGGCCAGTGGGCTGCTTACCGCTGCGTCCAGTGTCGACGATGAAGTGAGCTGGGAAACCTTCAGCCTTCAGCAAAGGAGCGAAAGCATTGATGAAGCGCTCCTCGTCGCAGTTCTTGCTTCCTTGGGTAATGGCAGGGCAGGTAGCGATGCGGAAGGCGTTGTAGTTGCTGACGTTGGTGACGATACCACGGACGCCACGGGGCGAGCCAGCCGCCTTGTATACCTCGGCGTATAGCTTTGCAGCTGGCCCGATGTTGGCGTCCCAGCCTAGCCAGCCGGCGTGACCGCCATCGAGGTACATGTCCACGTTGGGGAAGTTGAGTGTCTTGAGGGCGTAGACAGTGAGGTCTTTGTAGGTTGACGCGGCGTTTGCGCACTTTTGAACGCCCATGTTTGTGATCATGTTAGCCAGAGAATCGGGCTCAATGGCAAGGTTGATCTTGACGTCCGGGTACTTCTTGATGATGGCGGCAATCTTGTCAATGTACTGCGTCTTGTACTTGTCTGCACCGCCTTCGGCGATCTTGAGCTCGCCGTTGGAAGCAAGGGCTGCGCAGTCGCGGTCGGGCAGGTCGTAGACGACAAAGGTTCCCATGAGCTTTGCTCCTGCAGCGTTCTTGGCCTTGATATCGGCGAGGTAGGTGTCCATGGTGGGCACCTTGGCCATCGTGTCCATCCAAACGAATGAACCGACTTTGGCGACGGCGGATGCAGCGGGTTTCAAAGATGCAGCAAGCGAAGGCATGGCCAGAGTGTAGACTTCAGACGAGTAGTATGGGTTGGCGTAGAAGTCCTTGCCAGCAAAAGGGTTACCAGTTGCTGCAGCGGTGGTCGTGGCGCGAGCCGTAGAGGTAGTCTTCGTGACACTGGTCGCTTGGGGCAAGGCCTGAGCCACGCCTGCTGCGAGCGCAGCAGTAAGAAGGATGTTGGATAGCATCTTGACCGAAGAAGAGATTGTGAGATGGAGTGCGTGAAGAACAACACCGTCGTCAGGAAGACATATATGTATGTTCTCGCTCAACCCTAGTACTGGCGATCAACTTAGCCTTCATCAATACCCAAATTACTTCAGCCGGTGTCAATGTCCGTGATGCCGCCGTTGATGCGTTTCAAAACTTCCCCAGACATACTTTCGGTCAGTTGACCATGTCGACATGGTACCTGCGCCCCCAGATCTTCTCGAAGCATGCACAGAACGTGCTGCCTCCTGACTCGGCCCGCCTCCACATTTGATGATGGTGTATTAGAGGTGATGTGCTACCAACGGGTACTAGGCAGTGTACTCCGGTTGCCGAGCAGGGTCCTGGGTCTGTGCCGGTGGCTCTTGGTGCAGTACAAGCTTGGAATGTCTTGACGTCGTTAGAAGCGAACGCAAGATTGAGGCTGACTAGAGACGGAGGGGTACTAGATCGTCTCGACTTCATATATGAACATTGTCGCGTCCATGGCGGTCGGTCGGTGCAACTGCAATGGTACTTAGCGCAGATGAGGGTTCGGTGGGCGGGTGGTTCGTGGGACGTGGTTGGGTAGAGTCTAGAGAAGGCGGAGCTCGGTTGCTCTGGCCCTTAGCGCGCTCCAACACAAGCCTTCGCGTGTGCCTCCACCTCAGCATCCTCCCGAGCCATGCAACCTCCATTGCGCTGCGAAATCTTCATTACTATGTTTTTCGACGTCGCGATGCGTGTGGCGCCCCCACAGAGCGAATACCTGCAACCCGGTTCAGTAGATGAAAACAGGGCTCAACGCTGGTTTACGAGGTTGAGTTTCCCGGTTCACCTCGGGCGGTTTAATCTATTGCGCTGCGGCATGTATATTGCTTGCGCTGCCGACCAAGAAGTCTCATGACGTCGTATCATTCGCCGCATCATCTATGGCCTGGAGATCTGTGGCCTTGGGACGAGCAAGTTGTTGCTCAATCGGCTGCTTGATGCGCGTCTGCAGTTTTCGGCACGGTCGTATATCCAGTCGAAATCGGCACAAATATGCGGGTTTCCAACGCAAATGACCCTTGCAGCAATGTGCACCGATAATCTGTCGCTCACTTTCGCACCACCGCCCATCACTGTCACCAAGGTCACGTCGCGCATGACTCTTGCAGATGGATTCAGTCACACTCAGAGCATGACATTACGCGCCCCTCTAGCTTCTTCATTCTCTGGTAGTCTCTTTGACCTCTATGCATCTGGAGTGCCATTTTCCCAAATTTATGCACATGTCTCGCAACATACCTGTCAAATTACAGATCTTTGATTGCCATAGAGGGGTAGAATATGTGCTGTATTCAATCTGAAAGGGTTCAGGAACATATATTCTGTCTAGAGTTGTTCCTAATATCATGTCTCATTTTGTCAATTTAGCATCAGGCATCAGCTTCTTGTTAGCCACCAATCCGCCAAGCACTCGTTCCTTGAGCTTCCACCCATCTGCTGAAAGAACCAATCGGTCCATCATCGTGACTCCGTTCCAGAGTGCTGGCAATCCTTCCGTGTCCTCCTTATACTGTAACACAGTGCCCTTGATCCCCTCGGTGTCGTCTGGCCATGCGTAGCGGTAGAGATAGTTATGGTAGCGCACAGAGACGCCACCAGTTTCCTCGTCTCGGTCCACAATATGATTGGAAGCGTGCCGATGAACACCGGGTATGAAAGTAGGGTATACCTTCTTCCAGAACTCGATGATATCCTCATGTCCATGAAGTGTGCCGTGGACATGCAAAACTTTCGCATCTGGAACAAAGGCTTGTAGGATCTTTAGTGTGTCCCATTCTTCAAAGAGAAAGTTGAGCCGATTGACAAAATCGATGGCTGAGCTTCGCTCATCGCCTGAAACGTCCATGGATGTGTAGGGAACTATTGGGGGTAGGGATGGGGTAGACATAGTGCCGATCGAGATCGTGAAGTTGTGGTATTGATGTTGAATGTAGACAAGTGTGTTGCTGGCCTTGTACGTTTGCTATAGTAGGGTGCATCCCTTCTTATAGGCCGCGGTTGGCGAAGACTGTAGGTTTAGTTGTTCCGCCTTACGTATTGGAGATCGGGGCCGTTATTGAGCATCTCATTAAGCTTCCCTGCATCTTTTCAGTGCTCACACAGACACAGAACCCCTTCACTGGGGTTAGCAATTACTCATCACACAGTCTGTGCTGACGCAACACTGGGAGACGTCATCTAGCTTAGCAGAGTTGATGAGTGATCAACAATGACTGCAATGCTGCCAGAACCTCGGTCAACCCGCGAGCTTCACGATGGAACTTCCGAGGTCATCCTTCCGTATGTGAGAAAGCCAGCTTATATCCAGACATCCAGACTCAGGTAGTCGCGGTTGTTCAATGTCGTCTCGCCGGTGATCTCAGTCAAACGAAGCAGATACCCAGTGACTAAGCCATTATGCAATCTGATCACGGTGTGCGTTATGTGGTTCATGTAAGCTCACGCCTTCGGTAAAACGTCTATATCTTTGTAGACTGGACTTGACAGTAGATGATCGCCTTGATGCGTGTCCAGCTATGTGTTCGGATCCAGGTTTCCAGTTGTACGACCCTTCCAACACTCTCTCGTATATTATCAACAGCATCTTTACGTTCATACGTTTCCAGTTTTCAAACCTTAAGAGTCGAGTAACGCATTCAGTCAGTAAGCGCCGCTGATGTCTTCCAGGCGTCTGGTATCATTAACGAGCGGTGTCTGTTCATGGGATCACCCACCCGGTTACGTCATTGTCGTCTAGGAATGTCTACCCAGTACGTATGCTCGTTTTAAAAGCATGCGCCATCGGATTTCGAGTGGCACGTACATCGCTGGTGGGATTTGTAACGGTGAGGTAAACCCGAGTGCGGGGTGACGAGGGTGGCCACGCTCGTGCACGCTTGTAGCGTCCCGAGGTCTCCTGAGCACACCTCAAAGCTCACACAGTTCGCCCGCGCATGGTGTTTCGGAAAAAGCTTCAAGACAAATGAACTTGCGTGCCGCGGAATTTCTCGAAAGATAAC